AAAAAAGCCCCCCGGGGGGGGGGGGGCAAAAAAAAAAGATTTTCAGGGAGAGTCAAAGCTTAATTTGTCAGATGACTCTTGAAAGTTTACACCCTGAAAATCTTGTTGGTCTCTAAGGTGCTCCTGGACTAGAATCTAACTGTTCTGCTTCAGACCAACACTGACATTCTGTTTAGGATAGCACTGCTAAGAGCTTAGGACTACTAGTCATACCTTCACCTGTATCAACTACTCAGCTGCGTTTGGGAGACATTTTACTTGCTAGAATGTAAATTCATTATCTACAGGTAAAACAACCTCTGTTGTGAACTTTATTTTTTGGAATTTTTTTATTTTATTTTTTTAAAGATTTTATTGGGGGGGTTTACTACACACTACAACAACTACCCACTACCACACCTAAACCTCTACAGACTAAAACTTAATAGAACAAAACAGGAGTTTATAGACATGTTGATCTTCTATAAGTATGCATCATTCTCATAATATATCATTCATGAGTTAAATTCTTTTTCATTTTATCAGCTTAAGTACAACCCCCCCCCCCAATTCATGGTTCATGAACAAGTAATAATATACATCAAACTAATTTAGTAAACAGTTATAAATTACTTTCCCCTTCTACCTCCCCCCCTTCTTTTTATCTTTATCAAAGTCTAATTTGACAGTTAATGCTTTGGGGGTAGCTGCCCCCAATTCTGATGCAGAATCTTCCTCTGATGAACTGTTTGTTCCTGTGTCAGAACTTCCCAAACCGCCTGAGCTGCATTCTCCTTCTTCTTGATGATTTCTCTCTTCCTCCATTGGATTCTTTTTCGGTTTGTCTTGTACTTGTTCCAGAAATCTTAGAGCTTTACCGACAGAATCAATCTTTTCTTTTTGATCCTTGTACTTGAATGTTATCCCTTCTGGAAAAAGTCATCTGTAAACTATGGATATTTTTTGTAGAAAAATAATCAGTTCTTTGTACTGCCTTCTCTTATTTCTAATTTCAAAAGGTATTGTATAAAAATTGATTCCTATAGACCCCTGCCTTTCCCCCTGGAATGTGCCCCTGCTGTGTTGATTTCCTATTGAAACCAGATGGCTGACCATTTGGTCAGAGAAGCTCTATTGCCATGCCATAAACCATATACCTTCACACCTACATGCTGGAAGCTAGGCTAGCATGCTAGAAGCTGCACGTACGCAATGAGAGTTGGGGCTTGGGGGATCACAACTGCAGGTGTGTCCTCCAAGACAACTGACCATTCGGAAATTGCAACCATGACAACACCAAAAGTTGGAAACTCCCTGTCTACCTGCGATTGGCTAATGGCCATGGCTAGTCATAATTAGATTGGAGTTTTTAATTGTCTGACCCTTGGAGGAGATTTCAGATTTTCTCTTGCTCTCTCCTTACTGTTGAATTGCACCTGGGAAATGCTGTCCCAGGCAGAACAAAGAACTCTTTTGTGCAGCTGAGCACATGGCTGCATACTTACAAAGATGGACTTCTTGCTCCAAATCCCTTGGGGCTATTGACTCTTACCATGGACTATTCTGGACTGATAACTGTTCCTGACTTGGTAAATATGCTTCTTACTGTGTAGTTAAGGCAAGATTTGCCTAGGATGTTATTTTAAAGCCTTCTAGTCTGATTGCTAAGCCTGTACTGAATAAACTTTATTCTTGTTTATAAATAGTGTCTGTTTTGATGTGCAACTGTTCAACCTAAATCCTGTAGTCTGACCCGCTGACCAATTGTGCTACCCTGTAAGATTAACTGTACAGCTCTGGACAGAGTTGCTAATGTGTAAAACCCACATGCCAACTGAGATTCTGGGGATCTCTAATCTCAGGTTGGTGAGGGGTTAAGCTTAGAGGTTCCTGGTGGCGATTGTTCTTAAATTCAGAGAGGCTATCTCTCTGGATTCTTGTGTAATGCATTGTTCCAGTGTAGAATTCTTTCCCCTCCATTCCTGGCCTGAGGGAGGCAGAATCTACACAGGTATATCCTTCAGAACTCTTATTTCTGAGTCTTGAATCTTTAAGATGTTCCCATTTGTAGCTTTAAGCACCGCATCTCTGGTAGATCTTTTTGAGAATCTTGCCACAATTTCCCCTGGCAGGTTTTTCTTCTTAATAAATTCAGGATATGCTCTGTAGACCACATCCAGATCACTTTGTAGAATATCCGGTTTCATACCTGTCATGGGGGCTAATGCTTGGCTCAAAGTTTCTTTGAGATTTTCAGCACTTTGCTCAGGAACCCCTTGGAATCTCAACACATAAGTTGATTTTTCTGCTTGGAGCCTGAGGAGTTGTTCTTTATCTGATGTTCTTTCTTTTTCTATCTGTTCCACTTTTTGGTCAAGTGCAGAGGTTTTGAAAATGATTTTTTAAATATAGATTTAGAGTTCTTAGCAATCTGTTTCTGGAGTGTTTCCAAGTTTCGGTTGACATGAGTCATCTGCTCCAGCAGGGGTCGCAATGCATCAGCTAGCATGTTGGGGAAGTCTGCATTTGCTTCTGGTCTCGTGACCGGAAGAGTCGCTTTGCCAGCACCCAGAGGAAGTTTCTTCAGCGCCATTTTATCTTGTCAGTTAGACATTGTTTACATTCCAGAGAAGTTTCAAAGAGTCAACAAAATGGTTTGTTTTCAGTCCACTTTACGTATCAATATACTTGCTCATACAGATAAGGATATTCTTTTCTCTTTCCCCCGTCCCGGTGAGTCTGCTTAATATTTCAGCCTGTGTGTGGGGGGATATTTCCCTTTCCCCTATCCATTATGGGATGGAGGGGATAGAGCTCGTTTAAAAGTTCATAAACTTGATGCAAAGTCACTCACACTTCTGCTGAAACTTTAATAATCAGAGAGTTTGCTAATAGATGGAAGTCCTGCACGCTCGTCCAGTGTGCGCTTCTGGAAATCATGATGGTGCCTTGGCAGCAGGATCTTCGGGGCAAAGCATGCCTCAATTCCTTGGCATCAAGCCTCAGAAGCAGCATTACTCGAGCCCCATGGCTGGGAGCACTCTGCAGGGGCTCTGGGAGGGAACTGGCAACAGCCGGACCCCCTCCTGTCTGCCATGGGATGGTTGCGCTGAGCAGAGCTCAGCTCGAGCACGTCCACCAGGCGAGGAGCCAAAACCGAAACCCCTGGAATTTTTTTAATTAAAAAAAAAAGATATTTTGCAGTTGGGCCCTTGCTTTTTAACTATCACTGAAAGGCAGGTGTACTCATAGAGCTCTTTTTAGAAAGTTGCCAGTTTCTTTTCTTGTAACAACATCCTCTCATTTTGTGAACTTTTCCTATTTTGAAATATTTTAAAGTTCCTCAAAGGCTATGTGCACCATTCATCCAGTGCTGAAATACATATCTCTCTTGATTTTAAAAAGGGATTTAGACAAGCGAACTAACACACCCACATAGTAAGCATCAAAATTCCCTCCACAGATGAAATATTATGATGGTGCAGCGATACAGATAAAATGGCAGAAAAAGCTACATTCTTTTACCTGCATTTAAAACTCTTTACATACCTGTATTTCCTGATGTAGGCTCAATGATTGTGTCTCCTGGTTTTAGAATGCCGGCATTCTCTGCATCTTCTAACATCCTCAATGTTATTCGGTCCTTCACACTCCCTCCAGCATTGAAATATTCACACTTTGCCACTGAAATTTTATGTCAAACCAAAATTAGAACCAGAACTGTACATCTTTATTATTGTTACCAGATTTGCCAAGGGAAAAAATATTGTTAGGAACATTTTAAAAGAGAAAGGCTGTGATCCAACTGTGGTCACACACAAAATTGTAACATTTTCTGGTTGAAGATGAGGCTTCAGACAACCACCAGATGTCACTCTAAATCAACGGGGGGGGGGGGAGTAATCATAAATCATTGACTTTTTTGCTACAATAAATGGGGGAGGCAAAGTATTCTAAACCTAACACACCTCTGTGTTCAGCAAATAAGCAGCAATTTTATTCTGCATGCTTCATTTTATGTTCTGTGTTTTGCACTGGGATAACTACCTTACTCATAGCGAGATGTTCACCCGTTGAGTAAGTGGTGATAAATATTCTTGAGATGCAAAATATTTTTTTTTAATTGTTGCTTAACAGACATATAGATAATTATTTTTCTCCCAACCCCTTTCATTTTACATCCATTCACAATATGATAGGATTTTATGGATATTTTTGTTAAATTTATGGAATGCTCAGTTAAAATTTTTACCAATGAGGAAGGTATTGGTATTGGTTCTCATATATGGATATAATTTGTACCTTTTAACCAGTATTTATATGATTGAACATTGTCTTTATATTAAGAATAGGCACATATATGCAGAACCATAGGACTGTGGTTTTTAAATGATATTTTAGCTCTTTGGAATGTATAATTAAATTATATATTATATTTTGTACACTAGCACTACGTGTGTAGCTATATTTTAGGTTTCTTTATTTTTGGTAAACCTAGAGGGAAAGTTTTACCAGAGACATGTATTGAAAAATCAGGACTGCCCATGGTAACTAGGTGTGATTAGAGCTTATGTTACCTCCTCATATGAAAAAGCAAGCAGTGACTCACAAAAGCTAAGACCCTACTACATATTTTGTTAGTCTTTAAGGTGCTACTGGACTCTTGCTCTTTTCTACTGCTACAGAAAGACTAACACGGCTACCCATCTTGATACATCATCTATTTATCAACTAATTGTTAATTTTTACTGTTTATGTGTTTAAATGAGCACCTTCCCTCATCACTTTCACGTTAATATCTGTAACACAACACAGGAAATGCGAGAAAGGAGGGAAAACAAAAAAAGGAATACTCACAAAGCTCACATTTAAGTCCATACGCTTTTGAAATTTTGTTGATTCGAACTAAAGGGGTATGTCCAATTTTTTCCAAAATATTTGACAAAATCTTTGGTTCTTTTGGTCTGCACAGGAGAAAGGAAAAAAAACCCTCAAGAAACTGGCTGAAATAACAGCTACTTATTTATTCTTTGCAATTTGCTTAAAATTAGGTTCTGTGCAAAACATGCATACATCAAAGAAAGTGCGTCAGTAGTAAGCTTGATTACCCTCTTGACTCAGTTTAAACAATTAATCATCAAAACAACACCTGGGGGTATGGTTTCTACTTCAAACTGTACCACTTGGCAATAAATGTTTTCTGTACTGTTGTTTATCATACAAAATAGGCTGTTTACCACAAACATCCAAAAAGAAAGATTATGGAGGAGGGAACATTGCCCAGTGTGTATGGTGAGACATGGCACGTGAATAGTTTGATCCATAACACCAGCCACCACATAGCTGGCTGATAATTTAAAATAGCTTCTACTAGAGGGTTACAATGCATAAAATGAGGCTGAGAGAAAATAAAATCATGTTTAATTTATAGAATGAGAGGTGGCTCAGACTTTCCTGGGGTTATCTCCTCTGTTAATACCTCTCAGTACAGGACTTAGGAAACTCCCATTTTGGTATTAAAAGAAGAAGATTGGATTTATACCCCGCCTTTCACTACCCAGAGGAGTCTCAGAGTGCCTTACAGACTCCTTTCCCTTTCCCTCCCCACAACAGACACCCTGTGAGGTAGGTGGGACTGAGAGAGCTCTGACAGAAACGGCTCTTTTTCGAGAACAGCTGTGCCAGAACTATGGCTTGCCCAAGGTCATCCAGCAGGTGCAAGTGGAAGAGTGGGGAATCAAACCCAGTTCTCCCAGATTAGAGTCCGCACACTTAACCACTACACCAAACTGGCTCATGATAGCCCAGGCTTGCCCGATCTTGTCTGATCTTGGAAGCTAAGCAGGGTTAGCCCTAGTTACTATTTGGATGGGAGGCTTCCAAGGAATACCAAGGTTATGATGCAGAGGCAGGCAATCTCTAAACCATCTCTGAATGTCTCTTGCCTTTAAAACCACATGGGATTGCCATGTCAGCTGTGACTTGATGGCAAACAACAACAACAACAACATATGTAGAAGGGTGAAGATTGCTTATAGCTCGATCCCTTCCTTGGCATCACAGTTTATTGCCAATAGCAGTGCACCTTGATCTTGTTCTTAGCTCCAGCAAAACAAAATTACACTGATTTCACTACAGTGATTTTCCAGCATCATATATTCACTGACACCCTATTCTTTAGGTTTCAGTCTCGTTCCTTCATCTCCATAATTAGAATATATGACTGTTATTTCTCCTTTCATGGGGTCTAATGATATTTATTTCCATTTATTCTTATTTTTATGAATTACACACACACACACTTTATGTATGTGTTTCTTTTATGCCTTTAATTACTTTTTAACTCTTTCTATAATTTTGATCATTTTGCCTACTTCCTTCTCATTATTTTCTCAATAAAGCAAGTTATTTTAACTGTTTTATGTACAATATTACTCAGATATTTAATTAAAATGCTCGCCTTTTTCAAATCACATCAGTGGGATGGATACTTGAAGGAAAAAATGTGCCCGTATTAGTGATATCTTAACATATCTTAACATTTATCTCTATGCAGGTAGGTAAACCTCCTTTGCTCAAGATTAAAGCCACAGCCATTGATGGCCAAAACAAACAAACAAAAAGGACCAATCACATGATCTCCATTTCATAGATGAATATAAGGCTCATAAACCATTACAATTTTCATACCAAGAATCACTCCCTGACATCATTTCTTCCACTCCCACCTTACACATCGCTGAAGTTGCTACTCCATTGGTTGTATTAAATTACTATTCAACAATCTATTCTCTGTGAGAAAGGAACAATGCAGTCCTAAGCAGAATTGAGTCTGTTGAATTAAATGCCTTAAAAGGGTGTGACTCTTCCTCTTCTTAGGATTGCATTGTGACTGTCCTACACCATATTATCGATTGTTCAAATATATTTCAGCAGCTCCATAGTATGAAATGGTAGATTGTGCCCTGCATGTTTCCTTAGTGCTTATATGCATGCATTTATCTCTAATGTAAGATGTATCTGTTTCTTGTTTCCAAAAACTGTGGGAAGGCAGTTGAATTCTGAAAGATAACAACTCAAAGGATTCGTGCTAGCATTTTAACAAAGCATTCCCTACAAGCAAAAATAGAGACAAAACAGAAACAGGCCCCGGTCACATGGGCCAGAAAATGTGGGGGGTAAGCGTGGCTGTTTGCCCTGGAGCAAACTAACGCGCGGCCACCGGATCACTCGTCCTGCTGACGTCCCGTGGTTCGGGGGGAGGTGCAGATCTCATGACAATCCTGCGGTGCACCAAATAAGTGGCGCAGCGCGATCACAGCAGCAATGGCTAGGCGCCGCTGCCGTAGCACACGGGGTTGTGGGGGTTTTTAAACCGAAGTGTGCACATGCGCCGTTGGATGCTTGGGTGCATCTCGTGGAGACTTGGGGGAGAAAAACCCCTTTATGCGACGGGACATGGGCGGGCACCGGATGCCACGAACTACCACTGGAAATGCGATCAGATGCTCGCCCTTGCTCTGCGGTTTCCGGAAACTAGTACCTCGGAGGTACTAGTTTTTTACGCCGCATCTTCCGCGGGAAGCCTCGGGTTAGCCACGGGAGCTCTACGCTTCCCAGATGTTGCAATAAGATCACACCCGGAAAATCCGCCTATCCTCTGTCTCTGTAGCGTGGCTAATGCTCCGTGTGACCACAGCCACAGTAAACTGCAGTGTTGATGAGGTCTCTCAGGAGAGCTCACATAATCCCCAGCTCTTTTTTGTTGGCTGTCAGAAGACATTGCAAGTCTGGAGAATGGACTACCTAAAATCCTACACACACACACACACACGTTTGTAGACCATCCCTGTGGGGCTTTATGGCCCTAATTAAGAATCACTTTGTTAGAATAATATCAAGTTAAACTTCAGCTCTTTGCCCACCTCTTACATACTGCATCCCAGTATGCATGACCAGCTGCTATAAACTATGGTTTCATTAATTTCAATGAAGTTTAGTTCACTTTATCTGTTAATCAGATAGAATTATCAAGACAAAACATGATATCAAAGAGAATTATCAAGACTGAATCATCCCAACAACATTTATTTACAAGAATGCTATTCATTTTTACTTTTTTCAGCAGTTCAAATTTTGCTGTCACTTATCGCCTTATTGGCCATATAATTCACCTTATTGGCCTTGATTCCAGTGGAACAACATTAATAGCCACTGGGTATTTCTTATCTCAGTACATGCTTAAATGGCAGGTACAGCAGAAAATGTACATTCATTAATTTGTTACGCATAAAGGGGAAAAACGCTTGAGTGGATGGATTTATTGGACCGGTTTCTGAAAGTAAGATCTAGCCATTAATTCAGTGTGAGAGCTATTGGCCAACATGCTTTGAAAATGAGGAGGTGTGTCAGCATAAGCAATCAAAAACTGAACTCTGAACCCAAGTTTCTTCAGTGTACTTCAGTCTCCTGCCTTTCTGCCTTTGCCAATCAGAGGGGGAGCTGGAGGAATGTTTGATGTGTGCTTCAGGCTCAAGGGGGGCTTAAATATAAACACATTTTTTTTTGGTATTCGAGAAGTTTTGCCACTTGTTCATATATGCACAGTGTGTCTTCACTTTTTATTATAGCTAGAAGTCTCAAAAACTGGAAGTGGCTCAGGCCTGTCTGGACTTCCAAGAAGGGATGACCATTGCCAGCTGTTTGCACAGTTACCCTTCTCTGTCGCCTGACATTTCTCCTAGGATTGGCAACTTATAGCTGGAAAATTCCTGGAGATCTGGGGAGTGGAGACTGTGAAGCATAGGGTTCGGGGAGGGTGCTCAGCAGGGTATAATGCCATGGAGTCTACCCTTCAAAGCACCTATTTTCTCCAGGGGAATTCTCTGACCAATTCCGCAAAAGCAGATGTTGCGCCCTCGGTCTCCCATTTCCCCCGGTTGTACTGCTCAATTTCCCACTATTTGCTGCGTGGCCGCATTTTGATCTGCATCCCCCCCAAATTTCCCTCACGTCTTCTTGATCCTTATTTTTTTGGATCAAGAAGATGCAGGGGAAATCAGGGGGAGATACGGGTCAAAATACGGCCGCTCAGCAAATAGTGAGAAATTGAGCAGCCAACTGGGGTAAATGGGAGACTGAGGGTGCAACAACTGCTTTTGCGGAATTGGTCTCTGTATAGTCTGGACATCAGTTGTAATTCTTGGAGATCTTCAGTCCCCTCCTGGAATGCTGACAACCCTAAATTCTCTCCCCGGAATCAACTCCCTCCCCTTCCTATTGCTGCATTATTGTTCTAGGAGACATGATGGGCCAGACCTATTTTGACCCTTTAAATCTGGACTGGCAGCTCCATAGTGCTGATCTGTATCTCCCTGATGTCTCTTGCAATTCTTCCTCTAAAAGGTCCACTAGCCCTTTAATGTTAAAGACTGAGAAAAGGTGAGAGTTGCAAATGCAGTTGTCATAGCATGATGTTCTACTTCTGTTCCAAAAAGCACAGTGCAGTGGTGTGTCTCCTAAACCAGCACTCCTAAAGGTGACTGAGGCTAGGTGGCAGAGAGAGAGAGAAAGTAGGTAGGTCTAAGGGAAGTTTGCCAGTTGACTGTTCACCCTCGGGTTGCTCGCAGGTTGGGAGGGGAGAATGATGTTTTCTCCAGGTGACCATCACTAGCAAATTGCATGACTGGTGTTCTTTGACTTTCAGTGACAGAGGCAGTATATACTATACACATGAGTTTACTTAGTTATACTATGCATCCATTGCAAAGATTATTTTAACCTCTCACCTTTCTTTGATTTTCTGTGTGGTATAACTTTATTATATTACTTATATTCAGAGAAAGAGGCATCACATTTCCCCATATTCCCCTCCCCACTATTTCCTCTTTTCCTCTCCCAGTAGTCCCCATAACTTCTCCACTTTTCCTGGTCCCTTCTCTTCTTCCCACCCACTAGCCAACCT